ACCCTCCTGAAGAGAAACACAGTGTTGTGGCCAACAACAACAACAACAACAACTACAACAACAAACACAATGCTCGGTTGAGCTGTGTCGGGTTAGTCAGTTTTCTTAAGAAGTAGTAGGCGCGGTAGAGGCATGCAGGCAATCATTAGTTATATAGTTATACAATAATGAAAAAAAATTAAAGACACCTCTCCGTATATCATAATAAACCGTGACGGTATCAGCAGCAACAGCATCAGCAGCAGCACCACCAATCCCCAGCACCAACCACAACAATCCCATAATCGCAGCAGCGGTAGCCGCTAGAAAACCGTCTCTACAGAGTGCGTCTCTCATCGGCGATCTGATATACCATCGAACGCGCCTTTCTCATCGCGATCATTGTTGTTACATCGCGCGAATTACAACGCGTTCGCGCATACGGTGGCATCGCCACGTGCTAGATTTCAATGCGCAGGCTTCTGTATTATCCCAGTGCCTTTTTTAAGAAAAGAACTCACACGAGATTTTTTTTTTGCGTCCCCTATACGTCGATTTAATCGACCAGCGATTCTGAATTTGCTCGAGACAGTTCGTTGGATAGAGCGATATCAGTTCTCCTTCGATTAATGCAAAGACACGTGGATTCACGAAGATTAGCGTTTCCGGGTCATCTCTTCGTTCCCTCGAATAATTTTTCAGTCTTTTCAGATTTATCGTGAAAATTGTTGTACAAAGGTGGAAATAATCATAAGATAATTTAGATCGTTTTTTCTGTCGATCAAATGGTCTATCTAATTTCATTGTTCGTCGCAGGAGCTTCCGAAGAAGACTGCCTTCTCTGCCTATCGACCATCAGAACGAAACCTTCTGCTGTTCGAAGAGGGAAATGTCTCTTTCGTGTGATCGATGACGCTGAAACGAGGACGCTGATTGCACGTAATTGCTTAGAACGCTGATTGGACGTAATTGCTTAGGATGCTCGCGTATCCAGCCTCCCGTGTTTCTCGACGGTGGGCTTCGTCGATCTCCTGCTGCGCAATTTGCGAGAGATCGATATTCCGACGAGATCCGTTTTTGTCGCGAACAAAAAGACGGTCTTATCGCAGGTTCATTGTTGTCGTCTTGCGGTAGGATGAGTTACGAATTGGCTCACTCTTCTAAATACAAAACGCAAACTTCCACACAAGCACTCATCGTCCGTTCTCGATACGTTCGTTTTAATTTCTCTTCAATTTGGATCGTGACCTCGACAATGCAAATCTACAGCGACAGCCACAGAACTATCGGCGAGACACTCGCGTGTCGACGAAACGATTTTCAAGAACAATTCAATATCTTGGAAATAAAGAAATAACAGAAATTACTTGGAAGTAAGAAACAACTGTGTGTTCAACCACAGGACATCAGTTCTCCTACTCCCAAGCTGTAATTGTCCTAAAACTGTTGCAATCAATTTCGATCTATTTATCCAATGGCGTTTGTTTCTATCTCTTCGCAAGATAAAGATAAGTGAACTCAATGTACCTTATGACTTAGATATGGCGATAGATATCAGAAATTTATTCTTTTTAATATCGAGTCACATTGGTTGACTAAATATTCCATATCCAAGGTATCGTATTGTTCGATTGATATATTCGCAGCTTTATGCTCATAGGTAGATTCACAATTGAGATTCAGTAGACGAAAAAGACCACGCGACGAATCGACTTCGAAGCGAAACGCAACGGGTCATATTACGCGGAGACGTTAACGACGTTTTACGTAATAACATTAGTACTTGAAAAGAAGGAACAAGCTTTTTGATGTCATCGTGACTACTAAAAGAACTCATGCTTCTGCTTTAACGATCGTTGCTGAGATCTTGTATTACCTACCTGCCGAAACACACTTATTTCTTTCTTTTTTTTTTGTCTTTCTTTTTCATCTTTCTCCGGTCATATGTACTTGTAACCAAAGAATTTCAGGTCGGGTCAAGATACGTTTACAATCTCCAGACTCATGAGATTCTCGAGGAAAATATATGTCGATAGTCTTCCAAAATCCGTCATTGCTTTCGATTTGTACATTTTGTTTTCGTTCAATTTTAATCCGAATGTATGTATAGATGCGATTAATTGACAATGAGCTTAATTGCAACTTAAACTGTTGTATAAAGTGAGTATAATAATGCAAGTATAAAATATGGAAATAATTAATTCTCTTCTTCTTTAATATATAATATTCGTGTTTAATATGTATTTTATCAATAAAATGTCAAGAGAAATTTTAAAACTTATATAGATAATGAATCACGAGCGCATCAAAGTTTCGTTTCTATTATTTCCGTAAGATTCATTCTTCATCCACATTCTTTCGTATGAATATGTATTTAATAAACAATAAATATTCATTTAATATATGTATTTAAAATAAAATCATAAATATAAACAGTAAATATTCCGAAAACATCTGTTGTACTTTAGTACAACTTTATAACTGATGGAATTTTATCCTATTATGCATGCCATATCTTTATTTTCTTTAACATTTCCTTGTTTAATCATGCGAGTCTATTGTCAGGCTTAATCTTTCTAGAGTTTTTCTTTCTATTTTCCCCATTAGGATTCTAATATCGGAATCACACAGAATATCAGAGAACGCCGAAAATGACGGATTCCGAAGGAATATCGATGCAACGAATATTGATCGCTGTATTTCCCATACGCACCCGTTTACCATATAGAATTTTGCTTCATACAAGAAGGTAAAGAATTGATCTCAAATTATCATTTATTAAGAAAGGATTGCACGCGCATGCCACTGTCACCAGAACACCACCACCACCTGACTGCTTCAGAATTAGTTCGTATTTGCGCGAATATCTCACGATATCTATGTAACGATACATTCTGCAAGTTAATAGAATCCTAATCCGAATGCAGCGATCATTACGATCGCAGAAAGCTCGTGATTCGAAGAGTACGAGCGAAATTCGCAATTATGTCCGAGATAATTTTCAGAAAATGTTATATATAATATAAATATTATTAACTAATTTATTCTTGTAATTATGTTAAAATTATGTTGGAATATCAATTGGAGATATTATTTTAACATCTTAGGCTGTCAAAAACAAATAAATTTGGACGAAGCTCTTCTTATTCATAAAGTATGAAGTTTCTAAAAATATTCGTTATCGGAATAGTATTTAAAAGAATTTTTTTTAGAGCATTTCGCTAAAAAAATTAATTGCTATATAAATTATTAAAAGAGTTTATGAAATCATGTTGTATTCGATCACATTAATAAAATTTCCCAAAATAAGCTTCGCCAAAACTTGCAGCAAATACTAATTCTATAAATTTGACTTGCACTGTTTCATTCTAACATTTAAAAATCAATATACCCGTACATTTAAGATTAACGTTACATGCAAATAAACCATGTGTGTATGTAGTGGGATTCGCGCTATACACACGAATTAGATATTTTTACGAAGAAGTTACCTTGAACCAGTATCGAAAGGTATTTCTTATTTTAGTATATACACAGAAGTATGCTTACAGTTAGTGCGCATAAGGAACATAGTGGTGGCTTTGATCGAGTTATTAAAAAAGGAATGTTGATGATTGTCGGCACACATACAGCACTTGGCAATGCTTACTAGTATCTACAGTTCAACCTACACCCGAGTGCCTGTACCATACATTTACATCCAAAACACCATGCACTCTGTACATTGAAGGTAAATCTCGATATAATCGGATGGAAATGAAAATAGTCTTCTTCCCTGTTATAAAACAGGGAATGTATCATACATATATTTATCGTTAATGTTCAGATTGAGAAATCTTCTCGTAATAAGATTGCAAACCTGATTCCGTTTAATAATGCAAGAATAATCAGGTCAAAGAGAAGACAATTGACAGTGTTTCATAGAGTATTGCAAAAACTAATAAGTTTCAATAGCAATATATATCATAAAATAAAACGTGATACTGTTTTTGTAAAATGGTAAAAAGCATTATCGATTTTTTTTATTATCTTTAAATATATATTTTGTCATGCTAATAAGAACCAGGTTCACGCGAAGGAAAAATTATGATCAAGATCTGAGATGTTTATTTTCAAATACTTGTCGTTTTGTAAAGTAATAAGTAATAAATAAACGTTTCCATTGTAAATCTTACTATCATTGTCTTTGGATTTAACCCTAATCTCTTTCTGTAATTATCATTTGTGTGCGTGTATAAGTAATGCAAAGCTGCATAGCTACCAAACCGTACAGTTTGATGTGAAAACGCAATCAACTAACTACCCCTCAAACTTAATAGATCATAATATCACAATAGGAAGGAATACTGTCATCCTTCTTATTGTAATAAAAAATAATTGTTACAAAATCTTAATTCACATGAAACCAAATAACTCCCACGATACTAATGTTTCATGTATCAAGATGTTTAAAGTATTGTTTTGGTTTTGTACCCACAGTACATGCAATTAATCCATCACCACTGAAGTTAGAATGCAGGTTTGTGTACAGAGCAGTTTATAATTGAAACTAATGTATAGAATTTTTTTATATATTACTATCCAAAATATCAGGTAGATGCATATTTTTAAATATTAAAAGATTGCAAACGTATAAAATATGTGGCTCATGTGGATACAAAACTTAGAAGTTTGTTGTATTGCCATTATACTGTCACACTATATTACTGTTACTATGATACTTTAAATAATTTCTTGAATAATAATAGACGAATAAATATCAACCAAACTTGAATAAAGATAATTTGCTACTCCACTATATTAAAATCTCTAATTTGCAATTTAATAATTTATTTTACATTATAGCTTAAATTAAAAATATTAATTTTCAAACTCTAATTTAAATGACTAATTTAAATAATCTATGATTAAATATAATTAATAATTCGTTGAATTAATTGCATTCTATGTCATAATTATGTTGTAATGGCAAAACAACATCATACAATTTATAGATAATAAGAGGATAGATAATCACTTACCCTGTACCGCATCTTGTGTTGCTCTCTCTCCTGAAGTACTTGGTTTAGATAGTAGATGTCCTAACAGACAAAAAAAATCATCAAACTGCGCGAAAACTGACACTTAATTAAGACAAATAAGATAAGATTGAAAATTGACAACTTATCAAGATAAATGATAAAAAATATTTCAGCGAATTCTAGAAATTATCACATACGAAGATACTTACCAACATCTGATTGATGTTTGCCATCCAAACCGTCCGATGCTGATTGACTCGTGTAAAATGTTTGACTGATGTCGACCTTCTGTTCGTGATCAGGCGTGGTCGACGACGTGTCGTCTATAGTAATTTTATTCAGTGCATTGTCGCCTATACTCTGATCTTCGTAACTACAACTGCTACCATCTTGTTCCAGGTATTCCGGCATCTCCAGCTTTAAGTTCGGCATGAGGGGAATTATTTCGACTGGATCGGAGCCCGGTCCTGTCTGATTTTCCGCCGTTTTCCCATCAGAATCCTTCGCGTTGATCCCTGCCGAATTCTTCTCCGTATTCACATTCGTATTTTCTCGAATTTTTCTCCTTTTATTTGGCGGTACTTCGGGTTGCAATTCGACGGCATGGTATGGCATCGGAGACGATGGGGACTTGTTCCTCTTGTTATCCCCCGTGGATTTACCGGAAGCATTCTGCAGTTGAACCTCAGGCTCGTTGGGAATTTCTATGTCATCCTAAAAAGTAATATGACATAAATAAAGAGATGCTAAATTATTCAGTGCTAAAGTAATTTTACTACCAAAAAGCCGATTAGATTTCTGAATTTGTTCTATACGATACTAAGATTTTTCAGTAAGAAAAATATTTAATCGAAATATAAATAAAATACCCGAAATATGAACTTAATCCTAAATTAACGGGAGATAAAAAAAATCACAATACTATGTCGTTTTAGAAAAGATATTTTCAAATAATAACAATGATAAATGAACTCAAAAAAAAAAAATAAATAAATCCAAGTCTTCAGAATTGAGCAAGGAATTTATATTCTCTTTCCATTAAAATTGTAATAAAATCGAAGACCATAGCTTTCGAGCAATTAGGAATAAATACAAGAGCGAGTCGATTGCATGTATGCACTCTTTCTAAAATTTATTATAACTATAATAGAGGGGAAAAAAAACTTATAAATATATCACTTTATTCACTTGCTTCTACCTGGGATAAATTATTTTGTATACTAATAACTCACTTCTACTAGAGCGTCATCCTTTCCTGTGCCGTCTGTAAGACCCTGTACTGCCAAGAGCTCTGCCGTCGTGAGAAAACTCGCTAGTTGCTCTTGAATAACATTCACTTCGCCTTGATACATGAAATCTACCAAGGCAGCCAAGTCATCAAATTTTACATTGCGGAATATTATGATGGGATGCTGGCACGGATTTTCCTATATAACAAATAATTGTTACAAAAACATTTCTACATTTAAACACATAATAAATCAACCAGAAATGTATGCATTTACCTTAAATAAATCTCTAAAGTATGTACTACATGCTGACAAGAGCATTTTGTGTGCCCTGATTTTTTTGCCTTCGCAGCTCAAAGTAACATCCACAAGATCTTCATCCGATCTCAATGTTTCGAAAGCACAAGTAATGTGTTTTAAATAATTGTTCCATCTAAGAGAGAACTGTTGGCTGGAACCCATTCTGCTTCCTTAAATATAAAAAAAGATAAATTTATGTATTAGATTACCTGGATAATAATAATAATAATATAAAAGAGGGCTGTGAGTCTAAACAAATACTTTTAATACATATGAATAATTCAATCATACAAACACAAACAAATGTTTTGTACTCGATCGGATCATTTTCAATGTTATAACAAAAGTCGGTTATGAATTTTCTTAGCAATATTAAAATATGTAAAAATATAAATTGAGATATAAGTATTCAAAAAATTGATTATGTCTCTAATAAAAATCTAGGTGATTGCACAGGTATACACACAGTATTGGTCCAATCGGTATTTGATCAATTATAATACTTTAAATATTTATTGAAACTTTTGACATTTTTTTTATTTACCTAGATAATGTTCATAACATAAAAATTTATATCATGACTGATTTGAATAAAAAATATATAAAATTTTATTAAATGAACTGAAAGACGTTGCAACAATGAATTAATGAACATTTTGTAAAAATGAAATAAATGAACTCCAAAGTTAATATATAATGGGAAAAATATTAATATCACATGTTTGGGTATGTTGTTATGGAGCTACCATTGCAGCAAACCCTTCAAGTAGAAATAATCAGCAATATACAATTATTGCATTTACAACACAATTATCTTTATTCTACATTTATCATAACATCAACATATTATTAGAAAACTACATACAAAAAAGCTCAATACTCAGAAAAACTATGTGTAGACATAATCATTCTTTTTTTTTTTTACAAAAAATGTAACACAAGGTACAGATATCGTGTAAAAAGAGACTCGGACAAGCGAACATAAATCAAACAGTATCTGAAAGGTTATCAAGAATACTATTACTATCCGATGAAAGATTACCTTAATTGTCCTGAGGAGCGTAAAACAAGTGAAGAATCGAGAGAACTCCCAAGGGAAGGCCGTATATCGCGGGACAAGGAGCACCGGGAGAGCCCCGCGACTGCGACTACTGTGAGACCGATTCGCAAACGGATCGAAGTGAAGGAGGTGGAGGAGGTGGAGGTGGAGGAGGAGGAAGAGGCGGCTGCGGTGGACGACTCTGAACTCGGTCGCGTTACGGTGGCGTTACCGCGATCGCGCAGGCAACAGACTAGCCGCGCACTTCACGTGAAACAGGAGTTGTAAACAGCCGAGCTAGTCGCGCTCTCATGGAATCGTGGAAGCAACACCGTCGGGGGGGCCGTCGTCGCGCCGTACACTTTCTCTCGTTCCCCGCTCTTTTTTTTTCTCTTTCCTCTACTTTGTCGCTCGCTCGTTCGTTCCCTCTCTTTTTCCCTCACTCACGACGATCCCGTGTGATCTCAGCCAACGAGCCGCGTGTCGTCACAAAAGTGCATCGCGTCCCCGCGGTGTGCTGCGCGCTTAGAGAACCGTCCCGTGACGAATCCGCGTCGTGTTTCCTTCACAACAAGCCACACTTCACAAGCGAGTGACAGCTGGCGGCCATTTTCAGTACGGTGATACGCGTATGGGACTATGGGATGTGCGAAGAAGCCCGACCACCCTCCTTCCTGACCCCTTCCATAGCGACGGCGCAATGAGCGCGATTCGTGTGACGTCACGTGGTACGAGCAGAAGCGCGATTATTGGTCGACGCGGACGATACGCGGCAATATTCACTACGTTCCCTTGGAGCGCGAGTTTTAAGGGTCAAGTTGGTCCAAAGGGCGATTACCCCGGATCTACAATAGGATTTTAAGCCTTAAACCATAAGAAATGGGCGATTATTCCCCTCGGATTTGATTGTAATTGGTCAATTTTTTACGGCTCAACGGTGCAATTGACGGAATGCTTGCGATTGGACGGACATCGTTCCGCCAATTCCGCATTGAGTATACGTTCCGCACTATTGCTGGATTCACACTGCATCCGATT